TCAGCCATGTTTTGAATTTCCGAGGTCGGAAATTTTGTAAGGAGGGAGGATTATAATATCCCGTTAGTTTATCAGCATAAATTATGTTTTAATTCCGATTTATTAATATTGTCGAGTATTAATTTTCGCAATTAATTATTTTCAGTCGAGATTACCGAAATTTATTTTCGACGTACCGTTTACGTTCGGAATAATTTTGGTAATTAAGTATTACGCTTAATTGAATAATTAAGCAATTAATTGTGATTAATTGGTAATTAATCATAATTAACAAAACAAAAGCCGTATGGAAATTCCAAGTTATCTCCAAGAATGTCGTACGTTTAAGTGGCTTATGTTAAGTGGGAATTTGGTCCAAATTCTTCATCATTATCAAGCATTAAACGTGGCATTTTGAGAACTAAGATGGTGCTTAGTCACCTAAGCATTTCTTAAACATGCAACAAGTGTCTTAAGGAGGATTAACCTCCCAACTGTTAGACATATTATGATATACTCAAATCTTTGCATATCTTTAGTTTATTTGTTTCCTTCTTTTCCGTATTGTACTCTATATATTCGTACTCTTGTATTTAGTTTAAGCAAGTGAGAATAAGATCTCTTTGATTATCACATGGTATCAGCCAAACTCTTTGGCAAACCTTAATTTTTTTTTTCCGGTCGTCGCTGTTTCTTCCATGGCCGCCGAGGGTAGCATTCCTTCGATTCCTTTGTCTACAATGATCCATATGGTAAATATCAAACTCACTTCCGCAAATTACCTTTTGTGGCATGCCCAGATCGAACCCCTTCTCATCACCCAGGGTTTTCTTCTGCATCTGGATGGCTCATCCCCATGCCCATCGCGCGAGATCACAACACCGGCAGGTACAAAAAGTACCAATCCCGAGTTCGCCGCTTGGTATTCCCGGGATCAACTGATCCGGCTATTCCTTGTTTCCACTCTTACGGAGGAGTCCATGGCCGTTGTCATTGGCTGAACTTCGTCCCGCGATGTCTGGACCTCTCTCACTCGCGCCTATAGCCATGCCTCGAA